AGGCCACCAACAGGGAGCTGGATTGGAACGGGGCAGCTGGGACTTGAACCGCTGTCCCTATGGGATGCCAGTGCTGCAGGCGGATGTGCAACCCACTACACCACAGCGCTGGCCTGTGGAATGGTTCTTAAAAATCTCCCTCATTCAGCTTCTGTCTCTTTCTCATCTGCTAGAAGAATGAAGAGGATTCCTAAGGCCAATCTATTTCTGACCATGTGAAGCAGGATGCCTCCAGATTGATGACTTTCATCGGATTATTACAGCAGGGTGAATTACACTTTACTGTGGTAAGCTGAATTTTTTTTTTACTGCACTTATGCACTTGTTACTTGATAGATTTATCCTAATACACCAGTAAAACCATTTATATTAGATTACATGGCACTTTCTCAACTTGTGTCTATTCAAAAAACTTTAATCCAACTTCCGTCTTGATCTTACATGATACCTTCCTAGGGAGACAGATCATCTCAATCACCTGAGTTCTCAGCTTTATGTCACCTTCCAGTTATAGAGAAGAGCATCTCATGGTGCCAAAAGAATTGGTACTGGGGCCGGCGCTGTGGCGCAGAGGGTTAAAGCCCTGGCCTGAAGTGCCAGCATCCCATATGGGCACTGATTCTAGTCCTGGCTGCTCCTCTTCCAATCCAGCTCTCTGCTATGGCCTGGGAAAGCAGTAAAAGATGGCCCAAGTGCTTGGGCCCCTGCACCATGTGGGAGATCTGGAAGAAGCTCCTGACTCCTGGCTGCAGATCGGCGTGGCTCCGGCCATTGCGGCCATCTGGGGAGTGAACCAGCGGATGGAAGACCTCTCTCTCTGGCTTTACCTCTCTCTCTAACTCTGTCTTTAGATAAATAAAATAATTCATAAGAAAAAAAGAATTGGTACTATTACTGGACCCTCACATGGTCCCTAGCACTGATTAAAACTTTCCACACTCCAACTATCTGACAGCTTCCCTCAAGTTTCTTGAGCCCTCAGAAACCTGACCATTCTTTTTCTGAAATGTTCTCTCACCTTAGCTTCCATTCCACTACTCTCCAAGTTTTCTTTTCTCTTTACTCTTTGACTCCTTTTCAGTTCCTCATTCTGTTCCTGTTCTCCTTTCTCCATCATTCCTTAAATCTTGAATTTCCTTCTATGTCCTCACCCTTTGGAGGCAATCTCATCTTCTCCCATGGCTTCAGCCACCATAAAAAAGCCTGCATCTCCAGTCTGCATGAGTCCTGAATCTCAAAACCTACCAATGTCTCCAAAAAAGTACAAACACAAAACTGAATTCAGTACTCTCTTTTCCATCTTCTCTGATAACTGCATCTTCCTCTTGTACTTCCTTTCTCAGTGGATCCCCTTAGTCATAAGCTTGAGAAAGTGACGTAACCCCCCCAACAACTATTTATAATCCTTCAAATCCTACCCCTAAATATATCTTGAATCCAACCCTTATCCTGATACCAACATATATATTTTTCTCATTGAAATTACTTCCAAAAGATCCTTGCCAATTTCCAGATCTCTAGCTTTTCTCCTCCAAACTATTCCATATGGCTGATGCACTGACCTCCCTAAGATAAAAAAAATCAGTTGGTATTCCTTCCCTGCTGAAATAACTTACACTCCTCTCCAATACTTTTGGATGAAATACTTCTCTGTCTCTTCTGAATTCTAGGCACTTTTATCCAACTTTCCATTAGGCATTTTTATTCCAGTTTCTCATAGTGACCCACATTCAAAGCTACTCTTCCTGACTTTAGATCCAAAACTGACTTCTTGACAATGTTCCTTTACTCATGAAACATATCACCTTCTTACCTGTGCCTACATCAGAAATCTGAAATCTGGATGGCAATAGAGATAATCTCCAGTCCTCTCCCCAACATCCAAAGATCTTTTCTACATTTCCTACTTTTAGACTCTTAAATTCATCAGCTTCTCATCAAATCTAGTATAAATACTCAAGCCCAGATCAGCACAATTACTTGTCTGTGACAGTCTCCTAACTATTTTCCTTTTCCCAGGCTTTTCTCCTTTTCAAAGTCTTTCTCTATGCTCCAGGCAGAATTTTCTCCCTAAAATGTTAACATAAGTTGCTTAAAACACCTTGCAATGATACTCCACTGTTTTTGTAAGCAGCATGAAAGTAGCTTTAATAAAGGAAAACAAAAAACAACAAATAAGCAAAATTGTTTCAAATAATATAATGAAATAGACAATGCAAGATGTCAGAGAAGGAGGGTGACTTTGGACCCAAAGGTCAGGGCTGACCTTTTGCAGCAGTGATGTTTCATTGATTTTGAAGCATAAGCAGGATCTAGCCTTGGGGAAGGAGGCAGACTTGAATTTGTTCGCTTACCATCATCATTACTGGGGGCTATGAGCCCTGGAAGCCAGGGCCTGTGATTGATTCAATGTACTGCTCTCACCACTCACCAGTTTTTGGCATATATGGGTTTTGAATATATGTTTGAGGTGTTGGATGGATGAATGGAATATAAATTTGAGTTTCTGCACAGTCCACCTCTAGGTGAACTGTGTAATCACATGTTTTTATACATTCATTGATACCAACTTGTGGAACTAATAAAATTTCTAGATAGACAAAATGAATGGGATTAAGAAACTAAAGAGTTTTTTCTTTCTTTACCTAAATCCACCTAAAATTTTCAGAACAGATGCTATACAGTATTCCTTTATAGTCAGCAGTCCTAAGAGGGTAGCAAAATGGATGAACTACTTGCTAGGAAACTGCAGGGCATTTCAGTCCCACCAACCACATAAGTCAGCATTAGTCAGAGGCTGGACTCCAAGGTTCCCTGGCTTTGAGTCTCTGTATAGGCAAAATTGCTTTCATACAAGTCCAAATCAACATTAGGTACTCAGATTCATAAAGAAAGCAATTTTAAGTCATTATAGGTCATTTCTGGTAAGAAAGAAAAACAATAAAGGACTCCTTACATATATTGTATTGAGTAGAAATTATATGATTTGATTCTGCAAAATAAGATACTCAAATTCATACTTGTTTACTTGTAAACTAGAAAGAGTTTTGTCTTAGCAAAACCTGACCTGAAATGAGAAAAATGTGTACCTTTCAAATTAATCTACTTGGTGTAACTATTCATTTGTCTCACTGCAAAAATACAATGTATTTAATTACATGGCATTGCCTCTGACCCCCATAACATTCTAACATTCAAGAGATGTCTGGTCTCAAGCATGTTGGATGAGGGATCTACATTCTATTATGATAAATCATACAATTCTATTATCTTGGGCTTTAAAACTCAGCATGTGGGCTTTGATGTATTCAGCAAAAATCAAGTCACAGAATCACAATTACTATGATTTTAGCATTTGGAAGTAATATAATAGAAAGCTGTCATAAGTTTCTGTTCAGATCTGATTTAAAGTATATATTTATGCCAATTTACCATGGTTTTCCTATGTGTTTATACTTAGAGATACCTCTGACCATGAGGAAATTTTTATAGTAAATTCTTTACACCACACCCAGGCATAATCTGGGCATTTCAGGCATCAAAAGAATTTGCCATAGCTTCTAATTTTCCCAAGTGCCTCACTGTTCTCATTTATAACTTTTATAATTTTCTTATACTTAGTATTTTCTTTCCAAAAAATTTTCAAGAAGTAACACATGCTTCTAGGAGCAGGATTTTAATTCTTTATAGGTACATATCTGGTATTGGCTGCAAACCTCATTAAGTATATTATTTCTGACTTAAAATTACCCTGTAGAGATATTTTTTATTCTTCCTATCACACAACCCAGCCTCAGTTTATTCAATGCTACATGATTCAGTGGCAGAGCAGAATATGAATCCATGAATAGTTAGGTTCAAAGTCTGTATCTTCCAAAACATCAAGGGACAAATAATTGACCCATGTTCTAATCTCCTTCTTAACTTGTACAAAGTTGAAAGGATAGGCCAGCGCTGCGGCTCACTAGGCTAATCTTGCGCCTTGCGTCGCCGGCACCCAGGGTTCTAGTGCCGTTCAGGGCTCCGGATTCTGTCCCAGTTGCCCCTCTTCCAGGCCAGCTCTCTGCTTTGGCCAGGGAGTGCAGTGCAGGATGGCCGAGGTGCTTGGGCCCTGCACCCCATGGGAGACCAGGATAAGTACCTGGCTCCTGCCATCGGATCAGCGCGGTGCGCCAGCCACAGCACACCAGCCGCGGCGGCCATTGGAGGGTGAACCAACGGCAAAAGGAAGACCTTTCTCTCTGTCTCTCTTTCTCACTGTCCACTCTGCCTGTCAAAAAAATAAAAAAATTAAATAAATAAATAGATAAATAAAAAGAAAGAATAAGCTTAGCTCATACCTGGTAGAAATGAGAACATCATTTATTGCTAAATGCCAAGGCTAGTCATTTGGCAGAGTCTTTACACTCTAATAACAAGAAGAGATCGTATTTGGATTTTAAAAATTCAAATTTATAGCCATATAAAATGAAAACTGGTATTTTTTTGCTTTTTGCTTTATTATTTAAAATGAAATGCAAAAAGCAGGAATTGAATAGGCTTATCAACAAATAAATCAGATACTCAATATTTACCCACCTTTTGGAAGCATCATCTACATTTATTGGAAATATTATCACACAAAGGGAAAAGAAAAGCTTACACCTTACAACAACACAGCATAAAAGGACAGAGATGAAGATCATTAATGATTTTAATTATTTTAAGGCCCATTAAAATTAGAGAAATATCAAAGCACCCACATGTTAAGGGCTTACTATTACAGCATTTTAGAATTTACTAGTTCATACCTTTCAATCACAGCAAGTTATTAGCAGTGAAGGGATGAACTCTCTTTTAAGAGGATTTTTATTTCAATGATAGGGTGTTATGAACAAGACAACCTAAGTTCAAAAAAATTAGTAGCAAGCGCTAGTTGAGTTAATCAGTTAAAGACAAACTGTGCCCTTTGAAAGCAAAATGAAAAAGCAACAGTAAAGCTTACAGAACTTAGCTCGTACAATTTGCCTTGAAGGCGGAAGATTGGTTCCCTGAAATAGCAAAGAATTATATGCTTTAGTTCAGAAAAAAAAAAGGTTTTAAAATAAAGTCTGTTATTACCTCTTCTCCTTTCAAAACAATGGAAAAAAAATCTAGATCAGAGGTTTCAATTTGTTCAATAATTGTACCTCTGAATTAAAAAAAACTATAAATCATCATTGTTTTGACTTGAAAAGAAATAACAATACAAATAATCATTATCACATAAAACATAAAAGAAACAGCAAACTGTCGGAGTTAATACAATCTCTGCAGAGCGCTATTAGTCAGAGACAGCTGGTCAGCCCCAAAACACAAAAACTCAAAAAGATCACATCTTCTTAAGAATTAACATCTTCATTATCCAACAGGAATTTCGTATGGCAGAGATTAAATCCAACAACTGCCTTCTTTTTGAGCTGTCCCTTCACTGTTACCAAGCTGTGCAAATGTGTGAACTAGTCAGCAGCACCAGAAAGCTCATGCAACTACTTGCCACAGTTTAACCTTGAATTGATTCATAGATTCAATGTTAATTTTAGGGGTAATGTAAGCAAGCAAAATAGGACATGAGGAGTCAAATCTGAAATGCAAATCAAGTAACAATAAAGTTACTTAAAATAAATCAATATGGTTAATAGCATAAAGTAGCCAAAAATAAATGCAGTTCACTCCAAAAATTTTAGAAACAAAACCAAGACAAAACAAAAGCTGCATTTCAAGCAAAATTTGCACATGATTAATTTGCATTAAAAATGGTCAATCAAAGCAATTTAGTTCAAGTTTTTTGGGGCATGCATGCACTGATTCTATTATAGGATTCCTACCTGATTTCCAATTGTGGTTTTCTTGTGAACCTGACTGCTCCTCTGTTGAGCACTGAGAAAAGCAAAGGAAAGTTGCACTGAAGAAACTCGCAAAGTTTTTTTCTTCCTGAACACAAAACAGATACTAAAATACATTCAAGCTTTAGAGAAAAAAATCAACAACTGAGGCAGGTCAGTTTAATTCTGGAAGCAAAATCAAACTCAGTGAGATTTCTAACAGCAATTAACAATCACAAACCAAAAATGTAATAACATCTCAGGAAGAAAACCTGAATGCATTAGTCACAATATGAGTTGGTGTATTTGCATCATCTTACAGGTTTATAGAATAGTTGTGATGAAAGTTAAGTTAATGCTTAATGAGTACATACCATGTTTTAAATGATTTACCATTCATACTGATTTTAATTCTAACAACCATGTGAGGCAGTTAATACTATCGTTCTCATTTTACGGATGAAAAGACTGAGGTACACAGAAGCTAAGTGGCTTTCCCAAAGTCACTCAGCAGATAAGTGGTAATACCAAGTTGTATGGCCATATATCCCAACTGTGATACTATTCAATCTCACTGCTTTGAATTCTGGTATATTCTGACAAGTTCCTTTGTGCAGCTCCAGCTTGGACCTATCTTCCTAGCTCTGGCCTCTTATATGCTTTTGACAACTCAGCATGCCTACTTTGATGTTTAATGAGCAGCTCATACTTAGTATTTCAAAACTGAACTTATTTCCTCCCCAAAACCTGCTGCACCAATGGTCTTCCCATTTTTAATTAGTGGCAACTGCACGCTGCATTTTCAAGTGCTTAGACCAAAATCCTTGACTCCTTTCTGTCACATCCATACCCAATCAGCAGCAAATGCTATTGACATTACCTTCTTCTAATGTATTTAAAATTCAATCATTTTTTACACCACTTTTCTTGCTTCCCCCTTGGTCCAAACAACATCTCTCAACTGGATTATGACAATCACTTGCTTTCTGACATCTGCTCCCACAATTGTCCCTAATGTCTATTCCCAGTAAGGAAGTCAGAGCCATCCTTGTAAAAGGGGATTGTGTCACTCTTCTGCTCAAAACCCTCTACTGCCATCTATACGTTCTGTTCGGAAAGGTGAAATTCAAGGCTCTCAGAAAGGAACACAAGGCTCTGCTCAACTAGCCCCCACCCTCAGTCTTTGATCCAACCCCTACTACCTTCTGCCTCATTCTCCAGAGAGCTCTAGCCATACCAGTCTCTGTTTTGTTCCAAAGCATAGAACACACTCCCACCTCAGAGCCTTTATGTCAGCCTCGAATGTTTCTCATGTACATCCACATGGTTCCCAACATCTCCTACAAGTCTTTGCTTGAAATTTCTCTTTTCAGTAAGGTCTACCATGATCACCCTTTTTAAAATTGAACCACCCCCCTCCAGGACTCTTACCCCCTTTACCCTCCTTGCTCTTTTTATTTTCCATGTTCAAACATAATAATGTAGTTCACTTTCTGTGTGCCAGTTCCCCTCCATTTGAATGCATGCTTACTGTGATCAAGGTTTGTATCTGTTTTGTTCACTGCTATAGGCCCAAGGACCTGGCATACAGTTAGCTTTAATAAGTACCTGTTTAATGAAAGTCCAATGAGGTTGATGCCATTATAACCCGCACTTTACATGTGAGCACAGACGATTACAATCCAAACAAAAGTTGGACAATTTATCCCTAGAGCACTCACATTTAAGCATTATGTTACTCTATCCGTCAAAAGAACAGTTCCAGCACTTTCTTGTGGTGGATCCAACAGGATATGAAACCACAACTCAGGCTGGTGTTGTGGCACAGCAGATTAAGCCACCACCCGCAATGCTGGCATTTCACATTGGAGTACAGGTTGAAGTTCCAAAGCTCTGACTCCAATACATCTCCCTGCTAATGCATCCTGGGAAGGCAGCAGAAGATGGCCCAAGTCCCTGGGCTCCTAACACGTGGAGACCAGGATAGAGTTTCTGGCTCCAAACTTAGGCAGGGCTCAAACAGAACTGTTGCAGCCATTTCAGGAATGAACAAGTGGATGCAAGATTTTTCTCTCTTTGTATCTTTCAAATAAACAAATCAATCATTAAAAAGAAAAGGAAAAAAAGGAAGACCTTTCTCTCTGTCTCTCTCTCTTACTGTCCACTCTGCCTGTCAAAAAAAAAAAAGAAAAGAAAGAAAGAAAAGAAAAGAAATGACAACTCATTTTGGTTATTCTGGGAAGACCATCAACACTCAACCCTCTGCCAGGTTGTTTAATAGTTAGTTTGTAGAAGCTCATAGTTTTTAGAGATCATTGGAATAGTCTAAATTAGAGAAAAGGTAGATTAAAACTATTGGTCAACCATCTAAAGGGATGGGATGTTATGTTTCAGAAGCAAGTTAGAAATCAATTTCATTCTTAAAATTGTTGTTCAAAATAACTGTCTTATATGATCTGCCCTGATGTATTTAAGCTGCTTCCCTTCACTCAAGCTCACGAAAACCACACACTACATTCAGTTGAGAGTGGCCGGAGGTGTGTGATGAAAGTCTCCACTGCATTTGGTGGCAACAAATACTTTGTGTGTATTTTTTGCTTTTCAATGTCTAATTTGCAAACTTTAGCTTCTCTCTTCCTTCCTTGTTTTCTGCTGTTTTTCTAGTTTTTAGTTTAATGCTTAATTTCTTTAGCCCCTAGGGAATTCATTTCTGAACCATCTCTGAGAATAATGTGAATTTACGTTATACAGAGTTACACAGGGCTTTGTAGTAAGGTTGTGGAAATGACAAAGTTTGTGCCTGTCTTTGGCCAGCACCCATAGTGTGCACACTGCCCTCTGGCTGCCCACCGTGCCCCTGCAGCAGGACCTCTGCCAATCCCTCCCTTGCTATCTCCTACATTCACCTTTCCAGGCCCTGCAGGTTTTCCTCTCGTCTAGGAATACATGAGAAAACTATGTCATAATGTGATTGGGCCTTCTTCACAGGCTACAGTTATCTCTTCCAAGCACCATAATTGGGTTTTGGGGTCTTCTATAAAATTAAGCACTGGTTAGTGGGGATAACTTTGGAACTGTGACAGATCCACAGGTGTTTACTTTGAACAAGTCACTGGAGAACATAAGCTTCTGTGAAAAGCCTGTTGAAATCACTTAACAGGGGACAAAAGCAGCTAAATTTTTGATTATTCCTTGCACTATCTTGGGAAGAGCTCATGGATCTGTTTCTCAGCAGTAAAGTGTGTATGTGTGTATTAAAGAGTTAGAATCAGACATAAAAGGAAGGGATCAGGGACTGGATTAGCTGTTTGTTAAGTTCCCTTTGGATCTACAATTCCTTGAAATGCAAAGTCACTCTCAGAATTTCCACTGAAGAGCTTCCATATTCTTTTTCTAAAAAAGATTTGTTTGTTTATTTGAAAGTAGGAGTGAGAGAGAGAGAGAGAGTGAGAAAAAAAAAGAGAAAAAGAGAGAGAGAGCTTCTAACCACTGGTTTACTCTTCAGATAACATAACGGCCAGATAGCCAGTGCTGAGAGAGGCCTGAGCGAGGCCACAGCCATGAGCCAGGAGCTTCATCCAGGTCTCCCACATGGATGCAGGGGCCAAAGCACTTGGGCCATCCTTTGATGCTTTCACAGGTACATTAGCAGAGAGCTGGATTGGAAGTGGAGAAACTGAGACTCGAACTGACATTCATATAGGATGCATCATCACTGGTGGCAGCTTTACCCACTATGCCACAGTGCCAGCCCTGCTTCTATTTTCAAAATAATCCATACTGGGATTAGAGCTGTGATGTCGCAAGTAGAGCCACTGCCTATCATGCCAGCTTCCCACTTGGGCACCAGTGAGTTCTGGCTGCACATCCAATCCAGTTCCCTGCTGATGCACCTGAGAAAGCAGAAGGTAGCCCAAGTCCCTGGGCCCCTGCATCCACATGGAGACCTGGAAGAAGCTCCTGGTTCCTGGTTTCAGCCTGGCTAAGCCCTAGCCATTGCAGCCATTTGGGGAGTGAAGAGTGAGTCAGCAGATGGAAGATTTTCATTCTCTCTCTCTCTCTCTCTTTGCTTCTGTCTCTTCCTCTCCTTCTCTGTAACTCTGACTTTCCAATAAATAAATAAATAAATATTTTTAAAAATTCCAAACATTTAACCTAAGGCTTATAAGAAGATACAGAAAGATATTTTATAAGCCAATATTAAATTTTAGAGTTAGAATAAACACTAAATTACACATGCTTCCACTTAAAGAATACTCCTATTGTCCCCCAAATGCAAACATACTTACTGTTGTTGATAAAGATTGTAAATACTGAAGTCACTTCATAAATTACATAATAATAATAAATAAGCTATCTAGTTAGAAAACATCATTTACCACAATTCTTCAGCATGCTATGATAACTTAACTAAAGGCATTACAAAGCATTTATTTAAGATTATATGCATTAGAAAACGTTCTAAGATTTACAAATTAATATAAGTTCTTGGACATATTTTTGGTTATATGCCCTTAACTGGTTTTTTCTGCAAAATTATAGAACATATCCATTTATAATGCTTTGATACAAGTAAAATATTTAGGGTACCAAGTCTGTGGAAAATATAAACATGTATAGGTTATGGTCCTTGTAATCAGAAGTTCATAATTTATCTATTACAGATCAGAAAATATATATACAAAACACAAATAACAAATAAACAATAAGACCTACAAAAATAAAAAGGTGAGGCAAGTGTTTGGCCTAATGGTTAAGATACCTAAATCCCAACTTCCAGGTAATGCATATTCTGGGAGGAAATAGGTGATGTTCCAAATAATTGAGTTCCTGTCACCTATGTGGTAGACATGGATTTAAGCCTCAGCTCTTGGTTTTTGTCTGGCCAATGCCTGGCCATTGTGAGCCTGTGGAGAGTGAATAGTGAAACGGTTCCTCCACTCCTCAAATAAATAAATTAATCAAAATTTAAAAATCAGTATGTGTGAATGTAATAGAAATTTGAAAAATACGTTTGTTTCAAATGTGAAACATAATTATCTCATATCTTCTTAT